ATGCATGGCAGATTGAATTCATCTTAAAATTGTTGTAAACTGAAATAGAAAGGAACGAAATTACTCAAAAAAAATGTAGAAGCCTTGAGTGGTGAATGATTCTTGGGATGAGTCAGGGACTAAGTCACTTTCTTTAAAACATTTTGCGGCTTTGCCCAAAGTGTGCAAGCAGTTCACAAACACCACGTCGTCCCCAGGATATAACATCCCAAAACCTTCTTCTTCTGATGAAGTTCTTCCTTGCACAGTGGAAGAACCTTCGAACTCACACTCTCTCTCAATATGTTGCTAACCAAAACTATATATCAGAAAATATATCTATTTTTGTTCCGCATACTTTCACTACTAAATATACATTTAGACGAAAAAGACGTTGAGAGTTTGAGAAAATTGAAAGCAGGAATAAAACGGTCTTAGGTCCGATTCTCGCCGAAGGCGAATTTGAACCACTAAACCGTAGCACTAAGTGGCTCCTAACAATGTCTCTTAACAAGTTTAGAGGTATTTGTCTTCACTAATAAATGAAAAGCGTTTGAATTTCATGAATGACAAGTGCAATACAAAATTCAAATTATCATGGTTCTTCCATTATATGATTTAACCAAAGCATACCATCTCTTAGTGTAAATATATCATTGAACTATCATTGAAGTAGTTCCAACATTCGTATACCATCTTAATTATCAATTTACTATTACAAAATTTCTATTAATTTTTCTTTACAAACTAAAGTGTTATTAGGCTAAGTTGTTAAATATTAGGAGATGAGTAGGGATCGACCCACCGCCAAAGTACATATATAGGTATTACTGTTTTCTGCTACTATGATAAAGTGTAATATACTTCTATATATTAAAAGAAAATTCACTGATACATTTCCACATGTAAACATTCAACATTGGACATATATAATATTTTTCCCTACTTCTTTGGAAATTTAATTTTCCAATGCAATAGGCAAATAGGGAAACAAAGACAATCCCAACTGGGAAAGCAATGAGAACAAGAGCCACAAGGCCTAAACAATCATGGTGGAAACCATAATAATCTTGTAGGATTATTTTCTATTTAAAAAACGTATGTGAACATACACATTATTTTCTATTATAATATGTGTAAGTTTATGAAGGGAAATATTCACTAAAATGATCAAAAATCAAATTCTGATGCCAAAACAAAATCAAATATTGTCATACTGAAAAACTAATCATTTCAACAAATGAGATTCAAATATTTGATTATTTTGGCCAATTTTCCTGTATTGATACCCTAACCTAAAGTATAAATTACTTGCACATCCAAATTATAACACATGAATTAACAACACTCCGTCAATTAGACTTGTGTTACATGTATTTACACGGTTATTGTCATTCCAAGTGCTCAAATGCTAATGGAGTTACACAAAACCATCAAATATTAGAAAAGATTGGATTCAAGATATACTAAGTATAATGTACAGAATGTTGCATATAAAGTACCAGAAAACTTTAGTAGGTGACCAAGAGAACCCTATTGCAGGATATGCAACGGCTACATACAAAACTTGTAACATTGTATAATGTATTTTAATGGCAACATGCAACATTTAACACTTTACACTATATTTGGATGAGGAAGTTTAAGATTGCTAAGGAAATTTAAAGTAACGGAAATTGAAATGATGGAATTTTATTTTATAGAATATGTGAATTTTCTTGTTTGGTTGAGGAAAATAAACTTGGAATTTAGATAAAAGTCAGAATTTGTAAATTGACATGCACCAGTTTCCTTGTTTGGATTCATAAACATATATAGGAATTTAGAATTTTCGGGTGAAAAAAAAACTTGGAATTTGGGACCTCCAATTCCCAAGTTTAAATTCCATGTAAATATGTATCATTTCCCAATTTCTATGATTGAGTGCTTAAAAATAACAAATTCCGTAATCAATTCCATTTATTTTTAGGTTAACCAAACAAGAGAATTCACAAATTCTAGAAAATAAAATCCTGTCAATTCAATTTCCGTCATTTTAAAATTCCTTAGTAATCTTAAATTTCTTCATCCAAACATAGTGTTAAGAACAATGGAATTTGAAATGAAATTTGTTATTTTAAACCCTCATTCATGAAAATTCAGAAATGACACCAATTTACATAGAATTTAAAATGGGAATTAGATGTCCCAAATTCCAAGTTTTTTTCTCATGCAGAAATTCTAAATTTCTATGTTTATGAATCCAAACAAGAGAATTGGTACATGTTAATTTTTAAATTCCAGCTTTTATCAAAATTCCAAGTTTATTTCCCTCATCCAAACATAGTGTTAGTTTAAAACTGTGAAGATTTTGATTTATCGATTACAAACTAAATAAGTACTTGAATTCTTAGGCACTTCAACGTATGAACTTGTGCAAATGAACAAGGTCGGCCCTGAGATTTTGAAGGCCCGAGCTAAGCTACCAAATAGGAGCCCTTTAATTCTTAGGCACTCCAATTGGTTGTAGGTTCATATACATTTTATTTTTATAGTAAATACTCATTAATTTATTATTATATCGTACTCTTATTTAATTAATAATCAACAATATGCTAAAGTTTTAAGAAGGTGTTTGGACCCAAAATTACATCATCGGCCCGTGCAATCAAGGCCGTTGAGTAGGCATAGCTCTCAATCGTCGGATAAAAAAGCAGAGATAATTTTGTTATTAAAGGATAATATTATGGTTTTTATCATAATTATCTTTTAATGATTTATCTCGACATCTTCTTATGAAAGAGGGAAAATATATCTCCAAGCTGGAAACACGCAGCACAATTCAAAGCGATTTGGATGTTTGGCGTGTGGATGTGGTTTGGATCGGTTTTAGTTGACAAATATGCATGCATGTGATAAGGGTGAAGTAAAAATGGTGATATGCTTTGAAAATGAGTCTACATGTGTTGGTGATAAGATGGCAGCAACTGCCTTGCTGACAATTAACATTGGGTATTTTATGCTAAATCATGCATATTGGTATATGCTTTTGTATTGTGGGCCAGCATATGTTTTTTTTTTATGGAGCCAAATTCATTTAACAATGGATATTTGGAACAATAAGAAGTTTAAGTAGGCATAGGCCTTTGAGAGTTTGAGTTTCAGTTGGTTTCTACGAAATCATCAAGGCCACGCCAAGCGGGATCATGCATATTTGAAAGAGAATATTCCTATTATTTTGCAACTTACGACGGCAATCTTACGGTTATAGAGGCAATGACAACATAAAGGTGGTATTTCGAATTCAACACACAAACTGCCATGCACAAACTCTTGCTCTACGCGAAACCTCTTAACAACCTTGAGATTTTTATTTTCCTTTTTCGCCAACACATCTTCAGTTTGGATAAATAGCACTATGAAGGCAACCGGTGAACATCTTCACTTTGGATAAACAATACTATAACCGTAGAACCATTCGACCATGAAGCACCTTTAGTTTGGATAAACAACATTGCTCCGAGACCGATTGATTACCTATCCAAGTCTCGGTCAAGAAGAATTTTCAAGTCCTTACTAGTAGAGATCATCTCATCAGCCTTCTCGACGAAGTGAGGTGTTACCAGGTTACTACATTCGGCACCCTGAGAGCCCAATTTGATATTGAACTTCGTAGAACTAATAGCCTTGTCTTCAGGTTCTAGAACCTGAAGGTCGAGACGTGTTCATTTCTCGACCGCAGTCGTGAGATTCAGAAGTCAATAGTGCGCCCAATGCAACATCAACTCATTTTACTTACCGGTCAAGCTCGACCGTCGAGTTGGCATGCCCCACACACAACCGAAGGACATAGTTAGCTTTTTAATTACTCGGCTTGTGCGCCACGTATACTTGATAGTTTTTAAGATCAACAGAAGGTAAAGAGCAATAAAAACTGATTAACGAATTTAACAAATTTAATAGCGCCAATTGATCCTCTTGTATTCTTCTTGAAATCAATTTCACAATAACGAATATTAGAATCATGAGATGATTGATAATAAATTATTGAAACAGAGAAGATATAGCAAATAAGATAAGGTAGCTGGCATTTGATAGCGATTTTGCTTGTAAAACTACACTTTTTGTCCATCCAGAAGAAACCCATTCTTCTGTTACATGGCTTAACCGTGACCACACAAAACAGGAGAGCACGGGAAGGGCACCAGAAGTGGAGGGCAAACAATCCTTGTCCGTGCTTTGTCCATCGAGAATAAGAAATTGTAGGGACTAGGGGCCCATTGCTCTTTTGAGATGCAAGTTAAGGGACCTAACAAAGGGAAGTAAAAAGCATTGGTAGGACAAAACAAGCCGTTTTAGGAAAACAACTTGGGGGAAGATTCTCTCATTTCCTAATCTCTCTCCCATTTTCTCTCCTTCTATTTGAACGGTTACGGTTTAGCTACGTCAATATCTTATATATATATTTTTAGAGACGATAAGACAAAAAATAATATGTGGGAGAAGGGAAAAGAAGGGGATGAGAATAGGAGGGGAGATAATTCTCTTCCAAACAACTTGCCTATACAATTCGGATTCTAAGACGGTGGTATCCCAAACGAATCTCATCCGACTATGTGTTTAAACATTGCACATGACACCACGTGATTGTTAAAACATTGTCACCGTAGTGTATTGTACATATACATGATTGTTTTGAAGTAACATCATCATTGTGACATATTCATGACGTATGCTTATCTCGCCGACTAGAGTTTCAGATTCCTAACCAGGCGGGCATAAACGTGCTTACAGCCTAAAAGGCCTTAACCTCATAGATCTGAAAACACATTTCTGTCGGAGAAATTGTCAAGAATAAGATACGAACTAGAGTTTACTCCGGGCAAGATACCTGAGATTTTTAGCCGTTAAAGTCATTGAATTCTTGACCAATGATCTAACAGCTAAGTTCACATTGTATAACCGAGGCACACTACAGAACGTAGAAAAAAATAATGGGGATTAAAACGCTTCATTGGGTAGAGGGATAAGTGACAAAACAATGAGAAAAAACACATCAATTGTATTAGAAATGCAACTTGCCAATGTGCACAACAACAAATGAACATAGTTGCTACTCCACCGCAAAACCACCTCTGTGTCTGTCAAATCTTATTAATCTCTGCGAGCAGAGGTAGCAAAACAACCTTGAAAAAAAACCCCCCACAACTTTCCATATGTTTTTTTTGACACCCCCGTTAACCCCTCATAATCATAAACTACTAATGACACATTCTTCAAAGAACACGAAAATATAAAAATACTAATAAAAGAAAACCCAAATGGCGCAATGCCTGTATAGAGAGAGAGAGAGAGAGCGAGAGCAGCAGAGGCTTAATTCAATTCAATGTTTTGATTCGAAGGGGTGAAGACTGAAGAGCCGCCATTAAAGCTTTAAGCTTGGGGCTTGTCCCACTTGAGTGGCTTGACAACCTCCCAGGTGAAGTCGGGGTCATCCCTCCCGAAGTGTCCGTAGGCGGCGGTCTTCAAAAACCTTCCATTGCCACCCCTCTTGAGGTCCAGGTTGATGGAGATCATGCCTGGCCTGAAATCGAATGTCTCCTTCACAATCTTGAGGATCTCCTTGTCAGGGATCTTTCCGGTGCCATAAGAATCAACAAACACTGACAAAGGCTCGGGCACACCGATGGCATAGGAAACCTGCACAATGCACCTCCTTGCAAGTCCATTGGCCACAATGGACTTTGCAGCCTGCCTCACAATGTAGGCACCACTCCTGTCCACCTTGGTTGGGTCCTTGCCTGAGAAGGCACCACCTCCGTGAGCACCCCATCCTCCATAGGTGTCGATGATGATCTTGCGGCCGGTGAGACCAGCGTCACCATGAGGGCCCCCAATCACAAATCTGCCAGATGGGTTGAGATGGAAGATGGTCTTCTCATCAAGGTACTTCTCTGGGATCACAGGCTTGATAACATGCTCCTTGAGATCAGCGGCAATCTCATCGTTTGTCACGGTCTCATCGTGCTGGGTTGAAATCAGGACGGTGTGGACGCGAATTGGGACCATGGCACCCTTGTCATTGAAATACTCAATAGTGACTTGGGTCTTGCCATCAGGCCTCAACCAGGCACAAGTGCCGTTCTTGCGAACCTCAGTGAGCTTGGCACCAAGCTTGGTTGCAAGGACGTGGGTGAGTGGCATGAGCTCGGGGGTCTCATCAGTAGCATACCCAAACATGTGGCCTTGGTCACCAGCACCAATTTCCTCAGGCCTCTTGGAGAAATGACCATGGACACCTTGAGCAATGTCAGGACTCTGCTGCTCAATGTTCACAAGAACCTTGCAGTTGTCGGCATCAAGACCCACATCGTCTGATACGAAACCAATTGTCCGGCATGTGTCACGAACGATCTTCTCATAGTCCACATTGGCCTTGGTGGTGATTTCTCCGAAGACCATGACCATGTTGGTCTTGGTGCAGGTCTCGCAGGCGACCTTGCTGTCGGGGTCTTGTGTGAGGCAGGCATCGAGCACTGCATCGGAGATCTGGTCACAGAGCTTGTCTGGGTGACCCTCATTGACTGATTCGGATGTGAACAAGAAGGTCTCCATATCTTACAATCTGAAAAAAAAACACAATAGCATAGCACATAGTAAGAACATGAAAATCTACAAGGCCACACAGTTATCAATTCTTCTGCAAACAAAATCTAAAACTTCAACACATGCAAAATCCAAAATTCAAAATACAGATCCAAAATTCAAAATACGACATGAATTACTAAATCAACTGCACGCATAAACTGCTACCAGATCTGCAATGTCAGAGTCCATTTCTAAAATCTAAAACTCCAACGGTAACAATTCGAGAAAAAGCAACTACTTTCCAATAGATTTGCTAAAAATAATAAAAATCCAGATCCAAAACTTTCCATATTTCAACAAAAATTCAATCTGCGGTGTCAGAATCCACTTCTAAAATCTTATCCAAACGGTAACAAATCGAAAAAAAGGCAGCCATTTTATCCACACAAATTAACAAAACTCCAGATCCAATTTCCACGTATTTCCCCAAATCACACACAAAACGATTCCAATTCCACAACCACCAACTCCAAACAACAGATCTAAAACCCAAATTCAAACAAAACGAGACGAACTCGAAACCCACAAGGGAACAGAGACGTACCTGGGAATCGAGAGAGAGATAAGGGGGAGAGAGTTGCTTGAGTAGAGGAAAAGAATGGGTTTTTGTGGTTTCCTCCTCAAGCGGTTCGAGGAAGTAAGGGTTTTGAGGTCCCAATTTATAGGGAATGTGGGTGGCCCTCCACACCCCCCAAGCTGCATAATTTGGGTTAGATTCATCTCGGTCACGTGGCAAGGGAATCAAGGGGATCATATTTAATCTCGGCCGTCGGTGGGGGTGAGTTGGTGTGTAAAAATTAACAGATCTCTCTCATCAATGTCACGTGATCAAGTGATTTCTTGAAATTTGATACAACGGTTAAAATTATTATAATTTTTAAAAAAAAATTTGTATTTAGTCATTAAATCAAATTTTAAAAGTCCGAATTATTTGATCCGTTGATTTTGATGGAAAAGATCTGTAAAGGATCTCTTTCCAAGATTAAAAAACGAGGGATTTTTTAGATGGCCGGAGGACGCGTTTACCGCGCATCCCACCAACCCCAGCCTGTAGTGATCAGTCGACGGTTTTGACTAATCACACCCTTCGTTTTTTAGTCGATTGGCCAATCAACCCGTTGGAAATCTAACTGCAAGACCACAATTTAGTTGGAGATGGTTGTAACTGACCGACGCCTCTTGTTTGAAACTTTGTGTTGAACATAATTTCTGTTGTGTCGTGTTTGGTTTGATATTGTTTAATAACTTCGATCGTATTGTGTCGTGTTAAGTCGTACTTAATTGTATTGAGTTCAAACTCAATACGAATATAAGACACATATATGAATGAATTACGAGTTTAGTATGAAAATTGGTGCAGAACAGCTCAATGTGAGCTCACTACAAGGTTTGGTTCAGAATGATATATCTTATATCACTAACTTGTTATTTGAGTCTAATGATCTTAACAAAATATACAGTCCCGAACACCCCATGAAAAGCTTTATTTCCAAACCAGAACACCTTTATGTGCGAAGTTTGGTATTTTGTTTGGTCCTATTTTCTGAACAGATTGGTGAGAATTTATATTGAAAGATTTAAAAGTTGAGTTGGGTCTTTCTACTACAAGGCAAAGGCTTTGGCTTATTTGGGGTTTGTATCATTTTCTGAGTATGGGTGGGTTGGTGAGTTTGTGATTTGGTATTCCATCGTTTTCTATATAATCCTATCTTGATTTTTTTTTTAATTTTTTTTATGGTAGCACCACCAACCCCCACCAAACTTAGGTAAAAAAAATTAAAAAATGTTACTTTCAACTGTTTAACTAATTACGTACTTATATTGGAATCTCGTGAATGATGAATTCAATACCAAATTAGGCTGCCCATTGTATGACTTAACCGAACTCCCACTCCCCTTAATGTAAAAATATCGATGTACTAAAAAAACTAATTACGTAAGGACATTGTTATTGGCCAGTTAAAAATCTCGTTGTGTAGTTTTCACAAGTGTATTTTTTTCTAAATATAAAAAGTTTAGAGTGGACAATGAGAGTTTTGAAATGTTAATAACAATTTTCTTAAGAAATTTAGTTTAAATACAAATCCAAAATAAGTTTAAGCTCAATTACCTTATTTTTAGTTTAGATACTAGTTTAAAAGTTAAACTAACGCCCAACCCTATTATCATAAGGCCATACAAGGCATTTACCTTCCCAATAAATTGCGACTAACCTGCATACGTAATATTTCTTTTAGAGAAGTTAAAAATTGAACTGCGTTAATCGCTTTAGGGCATATGTCTAGTTTTCAAGGACCTTTTAAAACCCGAAACGCAAAATGATTAACCAAACACTATCAAACCTTTTAAAACCGTAAGCCCTCAAAGTCTATCCTAAGCTCTAAAGGGAACTTATAAGATCTCGTTTGGATGTACTTTTAAAATGACTGAAAATGTTTTTGGTGAAAATATTTTTAGAACAAATTTTTAGTAAAAATGCAAGTAAATCCTGAAAAAACACTTAAAGTGCTTCCTGAAAGAAGCACATAACTGATCATTCTTGTAGAAAACACTTCAAATGCTTTTGGAACCTAAAACAATTTTCTCTAAGAACACTTTCAGTTATTTTAGAAGCACATCCAAGCGAAAGATAAAACTCTAAAAGAGTTAAGTTTGAGGATAATATGGTAATCTCACATGTATTTTTCAGTCATTAATCAGGATTTAACTATAATATATACATGTATGTAATATAATCTTCATCTAGATGGTCATCGACTCATGATGATTATATTAAATATATATTCACATAACTATCTTTTTATTTGACTATCTAACGATGATTGTATTAAATATCCGTAAGCATTGTAGTTAATTTCCACTAAATGTATTTTTACTAAAATATTTAGTTAGTCTTGGTATTCTTTCTTAAATATAGTGTTTTCTTTTTAAAACATATGTTTCATTTGGTATTTAATTCCTTTGTCCTAATAGGATCAAACTGCTATGAATCTAAATGCTGAGGCAAAAGATACATTTTTCAAAGGGTGTGCTTTCCACATATTCTTTTTTACTTTTTTTACATCCTTTGTTAATTCTGTCATTTGATCTTCTTTAATTCATCCAATCCGATGAACGAAAATTAAAAAGGCATGAGAAAAGTAAAAAGGGGTGTGTGGATATTATACCCCATTTTTCAATTGTATACTATTTCAGTCAAAGTTCCTACAGAACCACCCCCCAATAAAAAAATCAAAGTCAAAATTTATAATTCGTTGGTCATGTTATCTATTTATAAAATAACACGTAAAATAATATATCACGTAATATTTTCTAAACGTATCACAATTTTCTTGAGGCAAATGGGACCTCAAGTGGCAAGTGTTGCAAAAGCATGGTCCAATTCCAATCAAACGTAAGCGTGGCTTCCTAATAGTGCTATATTATGATAAGCAATGTTAATTATATAGAACATGCTCTATTAAATCTACAAATTGCAATCCGAAAAAATAATAAATAAAAATAAAAGCTTTGCACATGAGATGTCCTGTGGACGTGTTTAGTGCTGACCTAACGCATATAATTACTCTACAAGGACGTGGCACCGTGATTGTATTTCTTGTTCTTTTTTGTTTTAGGCCATTTCATTTTCTTAATTAATTATGTTTTGGCTTAAAACATAATTAAAACAATAGCTTATGTTGAACAAAGAATAGTTCCTTATAGAGTATCGTGGAGGGGAGGGGGGCTAGTGAGGCCTTCAAAATTTAAGGGCGTGGAGTGGAGTGACAGTACAATGACAAAGTACATATGAACAAATCCTCCCAAATAATTTATTTTTTCAAAAAATCAATTTCAAATTGAAAATAAACAATAAAAACTTATATGTTTTTATTCAAAATGGTCTGTGAAATTGGCATAATTTTGCATTTTGGTCTCTGATATTTAAAATAAATAGAAGTGTGGTTTTTGGGATTGTCTACCATCAATTATTTTGATCATTCCGTGAGAAATCTTTATTAAATTGAGGATATTTTTGCCAAATCAACCTCTCCCTTTGAATTAGTGGTTTCTTCAATTTAATAGGGATTTTTTACATAATGGCCAAATTGATTGACCGTGGACAATCTCATGACCATTTCTATTGATTTTAAATTTTAATAACCAAGGTAAGGAGTTATGACAATTTATAAGATCATTTTGGCTTAAAAGCCAAACTTGTATATTAAAAAGTTATATTGTGGGTGGAGTTAACAATTTTGCGGAGGGAGAGAGATGGGGGTTTTCGCTGTGGTGATTTGTGGTTAAAGGAATGTTTGGGGAGATGGCGGGGACTAAGGAGAGGTAGTGGATGTGCCGCAGGATAAGGGTGAACAAAGAAGAGATGGGTAACTTCTTCTATGTTAAAATGATCTGATTGGCTATTTATTACTACGGTCTAGTAGTATTTCTCTTAACTTGTAAGTGAGAGGTCTTAGTTTCGATTTTCGCCAAAAGTAAATTTGAACCACAAGCCCATTATGAGGCTAAGTTTACCTCATCCCTTTAATATAAATAATATCGTTTGTTAAAAAAAAATTAATCCGATTGTAATTAAGTTAAAATTTAGGTAATTTAGGCAAAAAAAATCAATAAAAACTTTACTATTTAACCATATATCAATGATATATTTTTATTAATTAGGCATAGGCCAATGATAAATGTCACATAGACTTTAAGTGATTATAAGTACTTGGAATTTGACTTTTCTATCCATCTTTCCTTATCTCTCTTTATATTTTAACACACATTATGTCCAACCAGCCCTTAACTATCTCATCTTCATTGTCTCTTCTCTCTCTCTCTCTCTCTCTCTCTCTCTCTCTCTCTCTCTCTCTCTAACAATAATATCAAAGTATAATCACAGAACAGGAAACAAACATTGGAACACGGTGTCTGAATCCATATAAACTATTTGAATATCAGTGTACAATCATAGAATATGAAATAACCTCTGCGTTGCAGTGTCTAAATCTACATATCAGAATCACACAAACTTTTAAATATCAAAGTACAATCACAGAACAAACAAACTCTGCATCGTTAGGGGGAGATAAACATGCAAACGTTCCCGTAAAACACCGCGAATTGTCGTGGTATGCTCCCACTATGTATCATTTAGATCCTCGCACTGCCCAATCTGAAACTGAGGTGCAACGAATTATAAATATTCAGAGCATTGCTCAAAGCATACTAGATGCTTTTAATGATCTAGCAAAGGTGACAATATCACATATACCTGCTGCAAACGCACCTGCAAGGATAGATGTACCCCGAAGGTGGGGAGGCTGCACCTTCCACGCAGCAAGGTACATTGGAGGCTAGCCAATCATCTGCTCCGACCCTGAACCGTGGCAGACCCTTTGGTTTAAAGGATTCACAACCCCGGAAGAGGAAGATGGCACCAACTAGTGACCCTAGTTTGAATCCGACCATCGCTCACTAATCCATTCCAATGCATGAGGTTATTCTAGATAACGGTGATACTTCAGACGAAACATGCCGAACTTCCGAGAATCGCGAGACTTAGGTCCACTACGCAATATTGGATGAGGTTTGGAATAGGAATGAGATGATCATTGACGATGCATTCACGTACTCAGTGGCTACTGACATCATGCTTAGCGATGACATTGAACCACCTTTCGTCGATGAATGCCGACGTAGAACCGATTGGTCAAA